TTTTTGAAAACTTTTTTTTTTTTTTTGTTATTGAGCGTTGACGCTCCTCTTGCGCAATCCCACCCACAATCGTTTTACGCCCTTTTTTTCTGCGAGGAGGCCGTGGCAAGCAAACAACCAGCAAACAAACCTGTCGCTGTCCGAGTGGCCGTGACTGCACTGGGGACATGTATGCATTCTCCCTGCTGTGGCATGGCTGGGGACCTCGGGGTAGTGCGGTCGCCTCTTTTTTTTTCCGACGTATTGATGGCGCCTAGCCGCGCTCTGCGCGAGCCTTTACGCCCTCCTTTCTCTTTCTCTCGCTGTGCGTGATTCGGTGTGGCTCGTCCACAGCAGACTTTTGTGGGAAAGAAACCCCGAGGGACAAGTGGGGGGGGGGCAGGTGCGTAGGATAGAGGCGGGGCGCACAAATACATGGTGGTGCGCAGGCAGGCATGGGTAACTGCTGCCGCTGTTGCTCCCGCAGGGAAGATGCGGCGGCGGTGGCGTTCGCAGAGCCGCCGTTGACACCGCGCCAGCGACTTCTTGCGGTATTCGGCAGGCACGCCCCGCTTTGGTTGAAAGACGTTGACCACGTCATACAAGACTACAATAACGACGGCGAGCGTGCGCTGCGGTACTACAGCGCAGTGCTGGGTCCGGAGCCGACGCCCGAAGAGGCGAAGCAGTTGTACGCCACGTACTTGACGAAGGACGACATCGTGCTGCGACAACGCGTGCACGATCTGTTGCTGAAATGTGACCCGACGCGGGTCGTGGAATTGGAGTCCATCATGCGGGCGTACGAGGCGGAGCAGGCGGGGCGCGGCGAGAAGGCAACGGCGTCGGGGCTGATCCAGCAACTGGAACAGCGTTACTCGGGGAGATTGGCGAGGCACGGCGGCGGTGCGTCCTCGCGGCCGCGTGGTGCCGGGGAGGCGCTGCCCCCGCCGCTGCCGCTGCGGAGTGACGAGTGGTCGGCGAGGGATGCGTGCAGCGCCACGCCGCCGCCGCCGCCGCTCTCCCCGCCAGCCCCGTCTCGCCTCTCACGACGTCCCGGGCGCTCAGTTGTGGGAAGGGCGGCGGCGCTCGGCGGGGAGGGCGGCGGCGACGATGGCGATGGGGTTCTTCGCGAGTTTGACGCCATCCTCGCCCGCGCCCGCCGCGCCGATGCGGCCGCGCTTCTCCCGTACAAACCCCCCGCACAACTCACCTCGGCGGCGGCGGGGGGACCGTGACGGTGAGTGGGAGGTGGAGAAACACACGCGCACACACACACGAGGGTGAGACGAAAAAAAAAAAACAAACAACAACGGCAAGGTACGCAACAGCAACTTGGAACGTATGAATTACTTCGTTGCGTCGACTCTTTATTTTTCTTCTTGAGCATTCACTACTTCTGTTACTATTATTATTATTATTATTATTTTTTTCTATGTGTATTTCACCTGTAAACTCTCTTTGTGTTGTTCCGCACCTTTTAGTGCTGCTGGGGGGGGGGGGGCAACATTCTCCGCTCTGTACTGCGCATGACGTGTGGGGTTTGTGCGGTGCGGGACGAGTCACCCTGCAGGTGTGGCACGGAGCGGCGGCTGTTGGCGCCTCCCCGCTCTTCCCCTGCCAACTCGCGCGAGTGAGACACGGCAACAACAACAAAATTTTCTCTCCTCCCTTCTTCTTCTTCTTCTTCTGCTTTTGTATGCATGCACGCAGCGGCACACAGTGCGTCTAATAATTATATCTCAGAGAGAGGGAGAGCGAGAGAGAGTGAAGGAAAGGAGAAGTTTCGAGGTGTTCATTTTATATTATTGCACACACGCAGACTTTACGACTGCGCGTTGCGTGCGTGGGGAAATCGGTTGCTGTGGGAAGAAGTGTGTTTCGAGTGCTTTGAGTGCTTTTGCGGAGATTTTTAGCGTGCCGTAGTAGGGGGTGATGAACAATGCGAGCCGATCCCCCCCTTTCTGCCCCACCGCCACGGGACACCGACGCCAGCTCCACGCTCAGCAGCGAAAGCGGCAGAAGTAGGGCTTCGTCCCGTTCCTCCTCGGCGTCCTCCAGCGGCCGGCGGTCGGGGTCGCGGCGGGCTCGCAAAGGTGTGTCGTCTGAGCGGGAGAGCAGGCGCCATGCGACTAGTCGGAAGAACTACGCAGACCACGTGCCTGTGTTTCCCAACCTGCGGCGCCCGACAACGATTCTGCTTGAGCCCTGCCCCAACCGTCGCGTGCGGTCCATGTGCATCGCGGGGGGGATGCTTGTGACGGCGCACCGCAACGGCATCCGCGTGTACCGGCAGCGCTACCTCACCGCCCTGAACGCGGCGAGCGACCGTCGCTGTGGTGGCAGACGCGACGGCGACAACACCGGCAGCCGTAGTTCTCACGACAGTGAGACTAATCCCGTCGACGTGCGGACGGGGATGTGGGACGCTGTTGAGAGCCGAGACGGCTTCCAGCTGCAGGATGCGTATCTGTGCGTCGGGGCGGAGTCGGTCTTCAGCCGGGAACGCGTCCTTCCGCTGAAGTGGAATCGATACCTGGCCGTGGCCTGCGGTAGCGATCGCACGCGCTTCAGCGTTTGTGTCTTGAGCACCGCCGCCCATTTTCTGCTGCACCACGAGCTACACGCAAAGAACCGGGTGGTGGCGCTCCACTTCGCTTTGGTCGCGATGGAGGCGAAGGCGGGCAGCAGACGCTACCAGCCATTTGTGGTGAGCGTGGACGAGGTGGGCGAGGTGGTCGTCTTTGACGTTGAGCAGGATCGTGCGGTGAAGCTGGCCGTGCCCACGGCCGCCCCCGCCAGGGAAACCGCCGCGGCCAAGGAGCCGAAGGAGGCCGAATCCCCTGATCTCATTCCCTGCAAGGAAGACGCCATCAACGACATTGACGCTAAGCACAGTACCAGCAGTGGCGGTAGCAAAGCAGACAATGACACTGGCGACGGCGACACGGAGGGGCACGCGGGTGCCGACGAGGCCGAGGCTCCACCGTCTTGCTTCGAAAAAAGCAACACGGCATCCACGTCGCCGAGCTCAGGGGGCATCGACATTGGCGGCGCTGGTGGGGGTACCCTCAGCCTTCCCACACTGCGAGCATACCGTCTCGATGCCGGTCTGGCTACAAATGTCTTTCTGCTTGGCCCGTGCCAGGTGTATTGCAAGCGTTGTTGCAACGTTCCCACTGTGCCTGGGAGCCTTGTCATGAGTCTGTACATTTCTTCACACGCTCATGGTGTGGAGGGGCAGGCGGAGATGCACGTTTCGCATCTCCGCTTCCGTTGGTGGTTTTCGCCGCCACGGGCAGTTTTGCTTGGCGAGACCCCCATTCTTCGCGAGGGGGCGCCGGAAGATGTATGCGACATTGGCGTTGCAATGTTGCGCGTTCCGTTGCACGAGGAGCTGCCGCCGAGCTTCACGATCGGCCGTCCGCGGCTCCGCTTTTGGAGTCTGAGCGGCTGCACTGGGCACCTCCTGCATCTGCATCGCGTGTACCATGACAAGGACGGGAGTGGGAAGGGAGCGCGAACGGTGAAGGAGCATTTCCTGCGTGCGGTGCCGCTCGGTCGGCAGCTTCTGCAGCAGGACCTCAACACCTCGTGGTTCTGCCTTGCCGCACTCACCGACGACGACGTCGTACTTTTGCTGGGGAAAGAGCCACGGCCGGTCCGCCGTAGCGCTCTGCTGCAGACGCAGGATCCAACCGCCGCTGTGGCGGCGGTCGACGGCCGAGACGCGCTGGAGACGTGGCTGGACGGTGTGGAGGAGGGGAAGGAGGCAGCGGCCTCGCCGGTGAGGCCGTCGGGAGACGCCACCGCCGACACGGCGCCGCTGCCTGCTTCCGCTTCCTCGCCACCATTCGTGGACCCGAATCAGGACTACACGGTTCTCATGGTGCTGACGCTGCCGGGGGCTCTTGCGGCGAAGGCCAATTCGAGTCAAGACACAAGCGTCCCCCCCATCCGCATACTGCTGTCGGTGCCGTACAGCAATGAGCTGCTGTTTTTTATGGGGGGGTGCGACGAGATCTACTCTGTTTACTTGCCGTTCGTGAGAACCGTCGCGTCTGGTGGAGCCGCGGCGAGGCCTACAGAGCCAGCGACGGCCACCGCAACTGGATGGATGGACGCCGCAGTCAGTGCAAGCCACCTGCTAGAGCTGAGAATAGCGCGCCCGTTGATGTCTGCCATGTGGAGCCTTGCAGGCGAGGTTGAGGTTGACGAGGGGTCACTCCCGCCCTTGTCGTCATCCCCACTGCCAGCACCACAGCCACAGCCACAGCAGCAGGAACAACAACTTGAGACACCGACGTCAACGGCCGGAGGCGAGGAAAGGGGGAGGATGCCGTCAGCTTCACGGAGTGTCATGGAGGTCCACATTGGCAGCGACGCTGGTCCAAGTCCCCGGAGGAGGAAACGCCGCGGTGATGCGAGGTCTGCGGTGCACGAGAATGGCCGGGTCCCAGAAAATGAGGATGACATGCGGAGGGCCTACATCGAAGAAGAGTGGCGCAAGCTGATGAATACCCAGCACTGGGGTGGGAAGAAGACAGGTGGGGAAAAGGGAGGGGGAGGTGTGGAGAGTGCGGGTATGCTGAAGCGGCTTACGACGATGGAAGAGCCATTAGAGCGCAACACAATCATGTATGAGTGGAGTGATACACACGATGATTTGTATGTGCAATTTGTACAGAAGGGCCTGGAGATTGTGGAGGCGGAGAAGACATGTGACACCGCACTTGGCGCCTCTACACCGGGCCACAGGTGCCAGGAGAGCCTTCGTGATCGCGTCACGTTGAGCGAGTTTACGCGGGGGGACCACTCTGCGGGTTTCATGCAGGCGTTTCGTCACGCCCAGTGGCGGCGGCAGCAGCTGCGCGACAAGGGCGGGATCTTTAACTTCGCGGCGTACTTCTCCAGCGGCGCTGTGCCGCAGCGGCTGTTAGACGTACAGGAGGATGACCGCTGCCGCTTCGAGCTGGCGGACCTCAAGGCCTCCTTCGAGGACGACATACAAAGGTACGACGCCGTGGAGACGGTGCTGGTGTACGAGAACCAGGAGCGGGTGGTGGACAAAAATGGGCTGCGGCGGTGGGTGCCGCACCCCACCTTCCCGTTCGACGACAAGGACGGGGTGGTGGTCGACATCGCGTCGCTCAACGCCTCCGCCACGCTTCGTGGCCCGCCGCCGCTGGCGTCCCCCACCGCCGCAGATGCCGCGCGGCAGTCCGCGGCGGGTTGGCGCTGGGCGGCCGAGGCGGCGGAGCCCCACTCACCGCGGGCGGGTGCGAGCAAACTCGTCCGCAAGGAGCTGCAGTCGTGGCAGGTGGGGGAGTGGATGTACGCGACGCGGTGGCCCAAGCGCGAGGAGGAGGCGCAAGGGTCGTTCCAGTGGAGCACCTCCGACGACGCGGGTGTGGCCAAAGTCCGCCGCCGCCGCCTGACACGCAACCGCGTCAACGTGGCGCTAGAGGCGGCCATGGCGGCAAGGGAGCAGGAGTACATGACGAGGCTTGCGGAGCTGCGGTTGGAGCTGGACTTGTAGGATAAAAACTCTCCCCTCTCCCCTCTCTTTTTTTTTTCCATCTACTTCCTTCCTTCCTAACTTCTTTATATATGTATACTGGGCATAAAGGTCTACCTGGGCCTGCGCGTATGATGTGCGTCTCGCGGCTCTCGTCATTGCTCTCTCTCTCTTTCTTTCTCTCTGCATGTGTGTGTGTGTGTGTCTGCAGCTGTAGGAGGAGAAAGAAAAAAAAAAGGCTGGAACTTTGCAAGGACAAAAAAAAAGAAACTAAAAAAAAGGAAAATATGGAAGAACAAACAGGAGGCCTTGAGGATGCCGGGCTTAAAAGAAAAAAAAAGAAGAATGATATTTTTGCCCTTTTTTATTTGCGTCTGAAGGAAGTGTTCTTGGTAGCAATGTCGCTGCTGTGGAAGACAAGGGGGAAGGACGCGGGATTTTGTGTGCGTGTTCCTCATCGCACTTATTCCTTGGCGTTGCTGCGGCTTTTCACTTGAAAGCGTCATCCCTCTGCCCCTTCTCTTCTCTTATCTTCTTGCCTCCACAAAGTGTGACCTGCATGGAGGGCCGTATCGGTGCCGTGTTTATTATCATTCAGCTCAGTGACGGCCCCATTGACATCCTAGACTTTTTCCACCGCGCATGGAACGCTGAGTTGCTACGCAACGCCGCCGCGGAGCCGACGGGGTGCCTTTTGCGATTCCCGCTGCTACGCGTCAACGACACCATCTGCAGCGGTGTGGTGGCCTCTGTCCTAGCGAGCGGTGTGGTGCGCGTTGTGTCGAGCGGCTCCATTGAGGCGGCTATGGCGATTGCGGATTTTGTGCACGCCTACGTTGTTCGGCGCCTCGCACCGCTGCCAAGGCGAACTGGCACAAAAAGCATTGCGTTGCTTCAGGTCGTTCTCTCCCCAGCCCCGCCGCTGCCGAAGGGAGCGAGCGTGGACACGTCGGAGGGTGCGGCAGCATGGCTGCGTGGGCGCATAGCGTCTGCCACCGCCGCGAGTGGCGGAGGCGCTGACGGATCACGCCAAGCGCGGTGGTGGCGATGCGTTAGAGAAAGCTCGGTGACAGCGCTGCGCTACCGGCACACGCTTCGCGTTGTGTGCCACTTCCTGCATCCCCCTTCAGCACAGCTGGGGCATGTGCCGGGCCCGGCTGCAGGCGGAGGCCCTGATGACCGCGACGCAGACGCGTTTTTCTTTGGAAGCGATCTCATGTCTGTTGTGCCGTTAGGAAGCGTCTTCGTGGCGGTGGGGCACCACTCGGAAAAATCCCCGGAGCACGACACGAGCGGGGGTGGCGGGCACAAGCGGCTGCGCCGCGGGTCTGAGACGAGGACGCCGGAGTCGTTGTCGTTGACGTCCCCCGCGAGGGAAGACGTCGCCGCCCTCATGACAGCGCCGCCGTCACACTTGACGCCCTCCACCGCGGCGCAGGCCGCCCAAACCCCTCTGCTTCCCCCTGCTGCTACTGCTGCTGCTGCTGCTGCTGGGGCGAGGGAGGAGTGCCCGTTGGTGGCAAAGCCGCAGGTGAAGGTGGAGGCGTTGCTGTACCGCTCAGGGCGAGTCTTTGCGACCACAGACTCCGTGGAAGCCTTGTCCTTCGTGGTGGAGGAGGTGCTTCTGCCGCTGCTGCAGCGGCACGGAGGAGACTGAACCGGCGGCCCGCACGAGAGGGGGGCGCGGCGTCACAGTTCCAGTGCGTGGCTCCAGAGCGGTGCTGCGGCGGCGCCTCTTGCTGCACGCATGCGGCGAGGGGAGGAGGTGAAGCCACCCGCCTGTCGCCGCCGCAACTGACGGGGAAACTGCGGTGGGCGAAAGTAATCATGGGCGCGATAGGCCCGCTGTGGCGAAAGCCTACTGGCAATGTCTAGCGTCGTACGCCTGCCTCCCCTCCCTCAGTTAGTATTATTGTTATTTTCTCTTTTTTCCCCCTTCTCTCTTTTCTCTGGCGCGCCCGTTGCTGGAACAGGCGAAGAGGACCAACACATAGAAGGAAAAACAATAGCGAACGAAAAAGAGAGCCACAAGGCCGGAAAATTGGGGAAAGGCGCCGCGCAAGTTTAGACTTTTCTGCGCGTTTGCGTGCGGTTTCGACTTCCTTGGGGGTGCGCCCCTTCCATCGGCTGCGGGGCGGGCAGTAGTGGGCTGGGGCGGCCGCGGCAAGGGGACGGGAAGGCGTTGACACCCCCCGCCACACACAGGAGGCAAAAGGGAGCAAGCATAAAAACACCCCGGCGAGGACAACACCCAAGCACACAGAGAGGGGCACACAGACACAGACACACACACACACACACACGGACGGGAAAGGCAAGCGAGCAGCAATCGCCGGGGTTTATTCGTTGCCCCCCCACTTCCCCCCTAAACTGTAGAGTGATCTGCCAACACCTCGTGCCGCATTGCATTCAGTTATTATGTCACTTCGGAAGCAGGGGAGAATTCCGCAACTGCAAATGCAGCGACCAGAGCAAGCCCAGGAAGAGGGAGAGGGAAAGCCTGCTTGGCTGCAACGCGGTCTTCTTCGGTTGGACAGACGCGTTTCTCTTCCAGATGTTTTATTTACTCCTTTGTCTTCACCGAGGCAGAGCGTGCCCCGTGAATATGCAGCTTCACGCTTGAAGCGTGTCGGGGCCAGCAACAGCTCTTTTGATGAGGACTTGTTAAGCTACACGACGCCGCTTTCCCCGCAACCCCCGCAGTTGGCCTTTGACGTGCTCACGAGTAGCCATACACACGGCACCAACACCTCTCCGTGTACACGCCGCTCGAGTGAGGCCTTCTCGGTATCCTTTCAACGCAGCCTTGACAACGGGGTGAAGGCTGGGTGCGGCACGGACAAGGAGCCGGCGACGGAGGACACCGTGCTCCGCCGTCCTCTGGAGAGCTCGTGCGTGCGAAGCCGCGTGCCCCTGCCGTCCGCGGGCGTGACTCCACGCGTGTTTGTAGACACGCCATCGTACTGCCAGACCTCTATTTCGGGCTCCCTCGGCGAGAGCGGCATACAACCCCCGTTTCTGCTCGCTACTTCCACTCCTAATTGCACTCCTCTTGCTGCTTCTGTCGCCGCCGCGGCGGGTGGTCCATCCCCGCTGAACGTGCTACGGACCGCGCGGTGCCCCCAGAGAGTCGTCGTCGACGTGGCACACACAACGTTGAATGGGCACCGAAACTCACAGGAGGATGCTGTCTGTATTCATGAGCGGGTGGCGTTTCCCTCGGACTGCGTCGCGCGGGAAGGGCTACACGCGTCGTGTTCATCGACGTACTCCCTCTACGGCGTATTTGATGGGCACAACGGGGGCCGCCTCTCCAACGTGGCCTCCCTGTACTACCTCGAACACGTGGACGAGGCCCTCCGCAGAGCACCGCCGTCGCTCACAGCGTGTGAAGTGACAGCAACGACTACAAGAGTTCGTCCTGTTCCCGCGGGTGGCGGCGTCGATGCGCACGCCAATGCGTCTGCACCTCGCAGTGCTACTCCCCCGCAGCGCTTCCTAAGCAATGCGCTAGTGCAGTCACTCGTTCACCTTGACCGGACCTTGTATGAGACAACGCCGCCTGGGCGACGGGACCGCTCGGGCACTACTGCGGGTATTGCTGCGCTTTATCACGGCGCACCAACGTCACCGGACGGCCACGTCCCGTGCTACCTCTCGCTAGCGAACCTTGGTGACAGCCGCGCAGTGCTGGCCCGACTATCGGATGGTCGCGTGCTTGTGAGCACATGCGACCACCGCGTCTCAAGCTACCCCTCCGAGAAGGTGCGTGTGGAGCGGTGCGGCGGTTGCATCGAGTGGGATCGCGTCGACGGCGCACTGGAGGTCACACGGTCGCTGGGGGATTTCGCCTACAAGCTACCACCAGAAAAATGGTTGGCACAGCCCGGTGTCTGTGCCACAGCCGTCGCTCAGCAGGACAGTAAAACGCCCCTTTTAGATGCCACGGCACCTCCGGCGCAGGGCAACACAGCTGCATGCAGACGCAACAACAACACTAGGAACAGGAGCATGCGCTGTGTTCCTGGGGAAGTGCCACCGTTTTCTTTTGATTCTTTTGACGGGAGCTTGCGAGCGTCGCCGTTGCCCCTAAACGATGATAGCGCGGCGCAAGATCTTGTGGAGGCCGTACCTTGCCTAGTAGATAACGTCGTGAGCAACGTGGCCGATGTGTATGAGGCGGAGTTGACAGCGGACAATTTTCTCGTACTCGCCTCGGATGGGCTGTGGGACCGCATGGGCACGGAGGGGGTCGTTGAGTTTGTGCGCACGCGCCTCCTGCAATCGGGCCTCTTTTCTGGGGGCAACGTCCCACAGCCGCAGCCGCCCCTCTCCGCCTCAGGCCGCTCCAGCGCGCGGAGCAGCCCAAGTAGCCTCGTATCGGAGCTCCCACGCACCGTGGCGCACACGCCGCCACCCACTTGCTTTGGCGGCTCGCAATCCGCGGAGCCGAAGAGCCCACTCTTGTCGGCGCAGCTTTTCTCGGATGCGGGGGTTCGGAGCGAGCACGATGACGATCCGCCGTCAAGCTACTCCACCCCGCCGCCGCAGTGCGCTATCAGCAGGTGGGAGCAAAAGGAGAGTTTTGTCGGCAGCCCGTGCAGCTGCGGGGCCCCACGGCGTGTGCTGCAGGCGGTGGCAAACAGTTTAGCCGACCACGTGTTGCATCACCTGCACAGCGCTGACAATGTGACGCTCCTCCTTATGCTCTTCCATCACGGAGAGTGAGGGGAATGAGTCGTTTTTTCTTTTCTCCCTCGTTTTTTTTGTTTGTCCCCAGCTTTTTGTTACTGCTGTTGCGTTTTCTATTCTGTTACTGACTGCGCCGCACACACGACGTCAGCAGCCACCGAAACGAAGGAGAAGATTACGGGGAGGGTGACGCACCCACCCACACACACACACCCACGCACGTGACAGAGCGACGACGGCAGCAGAACGACTGTAAATGCCGGCGAAGAGGCGCATTTGAATGAATGCAGGATGAAATGGGTGAGCTCAGTGGTGATAGGAGGGGCCACGCCCGTCACTCAAAGCGCAGCATCAACGATGGAAGTGGACAAAGATGTGAATAGTGGAGACAATGATAGTGGAACGCTTAAAAAAGAAAAAGAACTTGTTTTTACGTGTAAAAGAATAGAAAAGGAAACGTAGGAGGTGGGGTTGGGGGTTGGGGAGTTGGGGGTTGGGGGGTTAGGGAGTTGGGGGTTGGAAATAACACCACGCATGACTGCCGTGCATATTAACACAACTGCCATTGACGCAGAGAAACAGAGAAAGTGGACGGGTGTGCGTGTGTCTGTGTGGGTGTGAGCATTGGCCCTAATGCTTTTTCTGATGGTTCTGCGGAAATGGCTGTGGACGGCGCCAGCGCAAAGACTCCCTAGCTTGGCTGGAGAACAACAATGAAATGCGCGGGTGTACGTCAAACGAGGCAGGCAGCAAAAGGGGGTCTCTGAGTGTTTGGGATTTGTGGCTTATTTAGTCATCTCGATTTCCGTTTTATTTTTTGTTTTTTACTTTCCTTCCTTCTAAAGCATCGTGCGCTTCCCGCTCCTTCCCGCTTCCCGCTCCCTCCCGCCTCCTCGCTTCGCTGCGCAGCACACGAGGGGCGGACGCGGTTTTTGGCTGGGCGGAGGACGAGTTCCGCGTGCATATATACATTTTTTCGCTCCGCCTGCCGGCCGCACCGCCGCCGCGGAGGGGGCGAGGGGAACAGAGTCCACAAGGGGGAGGAAGCGGGAGTGGGGGCGAGGGGCACCCGCACCGCACGTAAATAGTAGCGACGCCCCTCTGGCCTACAGCGAGCGGCGAGGCGAGAAGGAGCGCCGGGGGCGACGCATGGCACTGATGCTTGACGCCGTCTCTTTTTTCATTTCTTTCGGCACAGGCGTCGTCCTGACACTTCTGTGCATGCGTGGCGTTGGGTACGGCAGCCGTTGGCCGGCGCGTCTGTTTTGTGTAAAGGGGCGACAGGCACGCGCCTTCTTGGCGTACCGTAATGAACCGCTAAAACTGACGCTGCTGGTGCGTAAGGATTTGAAGATGGGCACAGGGAAGATTGCGGCGCAGTGCGCCCACGCAGCGGTGGCGGTGGTGGAGAAGGTGGAGAACCGCCGTCGGCAAGATGGCACGACCACGCCGCCTCCACAGACTGCTGCTGCGGACGTGGAGGAGGATGGAAGGGACCACTGGGATGAGTGGGTTGCGTGGTACGACGCCTGGATGTTTGCCGGCAGCAAGAAGGTTGTGCTGCAGTGCGACAGTGAGGAGAAACTGGTGGAGGCGTGCCGTGCGGCAAAGGAGGCGGGCCTGCCGCACGCACTGGTGCGTGATGCAGGGAGGACGCAGATTGCGCCTGGTAGCAAGACCGTCTTGGCGGTTGGCCCGGCACCCGTCAAACTAGTCGATTGTGTCACGGGGCGCTTCAAGTTGCTCTGAGCTCCGCGACCCCGATTGGTGCGAGTCACACAAGGGCTTAAACGCAGACAGGCGACGAGATAAAAAGAGCTGCCAGCGGCGTGCGTGCGTGCGTGGGTGGGTGGGTAGGTGGGTAGGAGCCGAGAAGGCAAGCTAAGGAGGCCGGCCACACCGCACATGCGTATCTTTTTCTGAAGTATAACGCTCCATTGGAAGGAAACAAGGAGGAAGATTTAGTGTAGCTCGAGACGGCAATAAAAAGTACTGAAAGCTTGCAGTGTTCCTCGCACCTTTGCGTCGTGTGAATGAATGATTTCTGTAACTTCCTCATGCGGCAGGCGTAGGTATATTATTGTTATTGTTTTTAATTCTCATTCCCTTCTTTTCTCGCGGTCGATGCGGGTACGGGCACCACCCCCGCAGCCAAGGTGCAGCCTGCCTTCAACGTTGCAAGTTCACTTGTTTACATCCATCTAGCAGGACCCCGAAGCACGGCGGGCGAGCAGGCGAGCGAGCGGGAGAGAGAGAGAAAGTGAAATTGGGAGGAGAGGGCGTGGAACTTTTTCTGCTCAAAGCTGCTGCTACCACGCCCACGCACGTTTGTAGTATCAGTGTCGTTCCTGACACGTGTCTTGGTGAATTGCGTGAAATGGCGCAAAAGCTTCTCCTTGCGGAGGGTCTTGACCTCCTACGCCGCACGGAGGCCCGGGAGTACGAGGTGGACCGCAGCCAGGCCCGCATTTGCTCGAGCAACAAGTACCGTCATGAGCTCTCCCGCCTCGTTCAAGCGTACGGCACCGTCTACCAGGACTACCTGCGCGGGGTGGAGATCATCAACTACGTGCGCCGCGCCGCCATGAGCAGGAATGGCCCAGAGGATGGGAGGCTGATTGAGATGTGTGAGGGGAAAATGAAGGCCTACATGGACCGCTGCGAACTGGTGCGCAAAAAGGAGGATAACATTCTGCTCCCGCTGGACCAAATGAATCAAGATGTGACGAACGGGGAGTTTGACTTGGGGGCCCCGTTGTTCGTGCTTAGCGGCGCTCAGTACGCCATCAAGCACAGTGCGCCCTTCTCCCGCGAGGAGAAGCTGACCGATGGCTCCTACCTTTTCGTTGTGAAGAATTTGGACGACTACAGCGTGGCGGCGCCTGAGCTCGTCGTGACGATTGACATCGTCCCGCAGCGGGGGCAGCAGCAGCGACTGGAGAAGGTGATCCCGTGCCAGTGCGGGTGGCGCCGCGTTATCGGGGTCGTGGCGGCGGCGACGGTTAACGTGTTGATCCGCTCCAAAGGTTTGCTGCGCGACTCGCACGTGGACGTGGCTCTTTACCGCCTGGAGCCGAAGCGTGCGGCCCCCGCCGAGATGCAGCCCCCGGGTGTGATATCCGACCACCTCATCGCGCAGCTGCCGAAGCTCACGGATGACGAGCTGGCCGCGCTCGCCATTCCAAGCGTTCCCACAGACACGCCGGCGCCGAGGCCCCGCGAGGGCGCCCACCGGCAGGAGGCAGGAAATAGCATGGAGGAGCTTCGGGCGCTTAGCGTGCCCTATGCCCAGCCCAGAGTGACGTTGTCGACGACGGTGCCGGAGCCCATTGAGGTGAACCCTGCCAACATGACTTGCGCGGCGCGCATGCAACGGCTGCGAACGACGTTGAATGCGTGGCCAAATTCAAACGTCCTGGCAACGCCGTTGGGTAAAGAACCACTGCTTGTTATACAGGCCATGTCTGCGTTGCCGTTCCCCACCGAGCTTGCCGACAAATAACGCGTAGCGCATACACATGCTGCGCAGCTGCACTTTAGTCGCTTTGCGTCGTCTTAATGTGTGGGCGTGTGCGTGTGTGTTTTTTTTGTCGTCTGCGGTTTGTCGTTGTTGGTCCCTTTCGCTGGATTTTGTTGTTCACTTTTTTTCTCTCCTCTCTTTTTGTTTCTGCGTCTGGAGTTTGCTTTGACGTGCCCACTGTGTTTTTTTTTTCGTTTGTCGCTGCTCTGCATTCTTCTCTGTTCCCTCCCGCTTACCCTGCGCGTGTGTGTGGGTGGATGTCGTCTCGCACTGCGCACTTTGCCCCTCACGCTCCGCAGGGCGCGCCAAACTCAACTAGAGGAGACTTGCCTCTTTTATTTTTATTATTTTTTAATTTTTATTTTTTTCCGTTACTTCTTCTTCCCTCTCAATGCGTGCGTCTGACGCATGGATTTGCATGTGCCCCCGCAGGTTGGCCCCCCCCCCCTTGCCGCGCACGCACCCACGCACCCACGCGGGAGAGAGAAAGGGGCGAGTGGGAGGCAGCTGCACGCACATCGTACGTCGAGGCAGCCAACGGCGGAAGGAATATAAAAAAATTGGCGAATGGCAGGGAAAGTCTCCCCTCTTTTTTCGCCCATATGCATCGGGGCAAAGAGGCGCTTGGAGCTTCCTAACCGGTTTCTCATGTTGCCCATGTACCTGAACCTGGAGCAGGAACTCAACGCATGGAGTGATGCGCACATGGATGCCATGGGAGCTTTTTACGCGGAGCGCGCGAGACACGGCGCAAAGCTTATCGTATGCGGCGGCCTAGGTGTTTCCAGACTGGGCAAGTGGCGTATAGACAGCATGGCGCTCGGGATGCACGACGCGGTAAAGGCCTTTTCGCGCGTCACGCGCGCCGTTCACCGCGAAGGCGGCACCATAATTGCGCAGGCATTTCATCCTGGGCGTGCCGCGCGGCGCCGCTGGTTTGTCTCCGCCACCTCCACACCATCTGCGGTGCAGCCATTTCCCGCTGCCCGCCCATGGCGTGTGCCGGGGCTTCTGGTTGAGTACATCGCCTCAGAGCACGCGCGATTTGCACGACTGGCGGAGGCTGCCGGGTTTGATGGTATTGAAATCCCCGTAAGTGACGGTGGTCTGCTGCACAATTTCCTCTCCAAGGCCGTGAACGACCGTGGGGACTACTACGGCAGTTCCCTTGAGGGCCGGTTGGAGGTGACGCTGCGGGTGTTAGATGCCGTACGGCACTCGTTAGTGGAACCGCAAAATTTCCTTGTTTCCGTGCGGCTCTGCGTGCATGATTTGAAAGTGGGCGGGACACCCATGACGGAAACGCTGGTGGCCGCTGAGGCGATTGCGCGGTTTGGCGGGGTGGATGTGTTGAGCACAAGTGTCGGTATGCATGACTCGCCTGTGCAGACAATGGCGTCATACGTGCCACAGGCCGCCTTTGCGAGATGTGTGCAGAAGGTGCGGGAGCGCCTACGCTCCCATGATATTCATGTCCCTGTTGTGGCGACGCACCGCGTGCATTCCATCGCAGTGGCAGAGCGTCTTCTGCGAGAGGGCGTCTGCGACCTTGTCGGTGTGGCGCGGCCACTGTTGGCAGACCCGCAAATGATTAGAAAGGCAGAGCACGGCCACGAGGATGCCATCATTCCATGTATTGCCTGCAACCACTGTGTGAATCGCCTATACAAGCATCAGCGCATCACCTGCGCGCTTAATGCGACTAGCGGGTACGAACTTGAGCGGCGTTGGGCGCCGGCGCCGTACAAGAAGCACGTGGCGGTCATTGGCGCGGGTGCGGCGGGTGTCACGTGTGCGCTGACACTCTGGCGCCGTGGACACGATGTGACGCTATTTGAGAAATCCAACTTTATCGGCGGCCAGTTGAACCTGGCCAAGGTGGTGCCGGGCAAGGAGTCCTACCAGGAGGTGCTGGAGTACTGGACCCGGCAGCTGCGCCAGTCATCGATCAACGTGCGTCTTGGAGCGGAGTTCACGCGGGAGGATATGGCGCGCAATCACCAGTTTTTTCACGCGCTGGTGCTCTGCTGCGGAAGCGTGCCGCGCCCGGCCACCTCACACCAGCTCCCCGGTACCTCCGAGTGCCCCATGGTGGTGCCGTTCGAGAAGATACTCAACGGCAGCGTGAAGGCTGGGCGCCGGGTCGTGATTGTTGGCAACGGCGCCATCTCCCACGACGTGGCGTCGTACTTGCTGCACGACCCGCGGGTTTCGCGCAGCGTGGAGGCCTACTGCGATGAGTGGGGCATTAACCTCGACGAGGGCACGCTGGACCCCAATGCGGCGGAGCGGGCCCCCCGCAACAACCGCGACGTGGTCCTCTTCAACAAGGCGGACAAGGACGCCGACCTCTCGCGGGGAAAAGGGTGGACGCAGAAGCTGTGGATCCGCAACCACGGCGGCACCATCGTTAAGCACGGGCTGGTGGAAAACATCGATAAGCGCGGGGTGCACATTTCTTTGTTGGCCCCCGATTCACGAAAGTACTTCGTGGAGTGCGACACCATCGTGTGGGCCTACGGCATGCTGCCCAACATTTCCGTCGGCACATGGATCTACGAGTGGATGAAAGACGGCGCAAAGCAACGCGGGGAAATGATCAAAGACTTCAGCATCTACACGGCAGGGTCGTGCCGCGACAGCTACACAGGCGAGGGCCACGGCGAGCAGGACATGCTACAGGCCGTGCATGAGGGGTACGAGATTGGGTACAAGATCTGACATCAGCGAGTGTTGTCGTCGTGATTGGGAGTACGTGGAAGCCACACTTCTTTTTCTTTTCTCTGCTACCACAGTTGCGCCCACTGAGCCGCGGCCTTTAGTTGCCTCTTGTAACGGAAGAAAAGAGAAAGAGCGGGAGAAGAAGGTGAAAACGTGTATGTTACTGTGAATTCCTTTTTTTTGGTTACATTTATGGGGGTTTTGCTTGAATTCTTCACATACATGCCACCGTCCCTTCATTACTTCTTGCAATGCACCCACGCTTGCCTGCGCCTACGTGCACTGCTCTCCCACCGCTCTGCTGTCTTGCTCCCTTGACGCAAGACCGCCGAAGTCTCAAGCGTCCGAAGGGGGCATGATGTTGTCCGCTTCAATTTGCCTTGTCTTTTTTTTTTTTTGCTTTGGCCGCTGCTCTATGCTGTTTTTAGGTGAAAACTAAAAGGGAGGGGGCATTGGCGCTGCCGAGGGAGTCACACACACACACACTTTGAAAGGAGGGGAGGTGTGCGATTTCGGGTTTGTGCCTTCCTGCGTCCGCATTCCCTTCGGCAAAGGGCGAGCGGTAAGCTGGATACTACTACTCCTTCTTTTGTTTTTGTTTTTGTTTTTCTCTTGGCCTCACAGTTGTGTGCATGAGTTTCTGCCTTTCGTTCAACCCCCGTGACACGCACAAAACCAGACAGCTCTGCGTAGCGAAATCAGGAGGAATTGGCCCGGTGCGGCGGCTGCGGCTGCGGCGACCGTGGCGCGACTCTCTTTTTTCACCGCATCGCCGTTAGTCCAAACTGCGCCGAGCCTGACGCTGGCGCTGCAAACCAGCCGAAGTTTGTGTCGGTTTCCGCCTTGAAAAAAAAAGCGCGCAATTAAATACAAAATATTCTCGTTGTGTTTTTTGTCTCCGTGTCGGTTCCTTTGCTCTGCGCGTTCACGCACGCGTGGTTGTGCGGGTGCGCGAGTCCATGCTTCAGCGGCCGCAGCGTGCTCCATGCCGTATTCTGCCCCCCGGCGTCGCGGTGCGTCTCCGGCGCGGGTCAGCCCCCGCCGCTTTGCCGTGCAGCTGCAGTCTGAACGTGGCGGCCCTCTTTCACGAGGGGCCGCCCTCGCCGCCGCTGCCGCTCTCTCGGTGTGAGCTTCACGAGCTCCTCTTGGCACTTCCGCAGCGTCTGCAGCACTCAGCATGGCGTGTCTGCTACGACACGGAGCACGATGGCTTCTCGCTGCAGAATTTCTACCGTACGATGAAGCAGGTCCGCGACGAGGGCGAGCACGGCATAGGCATCTTTGTGGTTAGTGGGGACCTGGCGGACTCAAAGTTGCCCACGCCCGCGGAGGAAAATACTCCAGGGCCAACGAATCGGAGAGGCGTCCCCGCCCCGCCGAATTTTGTCGTGCTGGGCTGCTTCACGCCGGAGGTGCCATGCCTGGAGCACTCCCAGCACGCCTTCTTCGGCACCCAGGACACGTTTGTCTTTACCTACGCGGATGTCAGCCGCCACGCACCGGAGCAAGGGCGTGGGGGCCGGCAGAGTGCGGTGGGCGTGACGCCCGCACGTGCGGCACTTGGGGCGGGTCAAGTCGCTCTGAATCGAAAAATGGCAACGCCGCCGTCAACGTCGTCGGTGCAGTCGCTTGCGTCCTCAGCTGCGGCGCCCCACTTGCCCCACATTTTGTCTGTTTACCCTTGGACGTTGGAGGAGGGAAATAAGGAATTTATGGTGTGCACCAACAATTTCTTTGGCATCGGTGGTGGACCCGATGGGGCGGCAATATTCGTCGATGCGAGCCTCTCGCACGGGACCAGCAGCGTTTTCTGCGAAACCTTTGCGTCCCCCCCGTTGGGCGGAAGACTACGCGCGACGCTGCGGCACTCGGAGTTTACGGTGCTGCGAATGATATGGTTCAAGGTAAAGGATAGAAAAGGGACCTTCACCTGCATGGAGCTTCCCAAGTCTGAGCCGTGCGACTGCGGAAGGCTGCTGGAGGTTGATGATGGGAATTGCTCGGTACGCGTACGCCACCGTGGGCACACCCCTGCTTGGCACCGCTGCAATGAAGACCATCATGCACTTCTCGCCAGAGTCGCTGGCCGCGGAGAGGGGGTGGAGGAGGAAATAAACGCCACAAAAAAGAGCGAGGTAGACATGTGTGTACATATGTGATGTTGTGGGATGATTTCCGTCTTTTTTTCATTTCTTTTGCCTGTGATGACATTTACTTTTTCCCTTGTTACTGACGCTGTGGGAGTGGTGCGGAGTAACCGCCATGGCGCGAGCCTCTCTGCGGTGTTTGCTGATTGAGTCCCCAACCGGGGGCCGCAACTGCGGCAGATGGCATTCGTCTTGGCCGCTGCTGTTCCTCGCTGCTGGCGGCAACTGCGATGCATGAATCCGGCCCCCCTTTGGGGCTTTTACGTGCGTCTTCTTTGTCTTGCACTCCTCCTCTCTCCCCCTTTTTATCTCTCATTCTTTCTTTCCTTTTCTTTTCCTTGTCTCTCTCCCCATCGTGGCTGGTGTCTCTGAGGGGTCTAGGAGGGTACGTTGCATTTCTTGCGTTTCGCTTTGTTCTTGCTGTTTTTCTTGCCGTTGCTTGTGGTAGGCAACACTTTTGAGCCCAATGTGCGGCATATTTGGGTACGTCAACTACCACACACGACGGACGGTGCGGGAGATCCTCAACGTGCTGCTCGACGGCCTGCAGCGTGTGGAGTACCGTGGGTACGACAGCGCCGGCCTCTGCATCGACGGCTGTGATGCCGGTCACTCACCTGTCGTGATTCGCAGCGTGGGGAACATCGCCCGGCTGCGTGAGCTTGTCTTCAGCGACGCGAATGCCTCGGTGCTGAACATGGACGCTGTCTTTGACAGTCACATCGGCATTGCCCACACCCGCTGGGCCACCCACGGCACCCCGTGCGTGGAGAACTCGCATCCGCAGTCCAGCAACAACGGGGCGTTTTTCGTAGTGCACAACGGCATCATGACAAACTTTGCGCCGGCGAAGGAGCGGTTGCTGGCGAAGGGCTACCACTTCAGCAGCGACACGGACACGGAGGTGATTGCGGTGCTGACGGAGGATCTGCATGCGCAGCATCCGCGGCTCTCCTTCGTTGAGCTCGCTACAAAGCTCGCCTCCATAGTGGAGGGCGCGTATGCGGTTTTAATCAAGTCGACTGTCTTTCCTGGCGAGCTTATCGCGTGTCGTAAGAGCTCCCCACTGGTGATCGGACTCTGTCATGGGGGGAGCAACGGTGGCACGCCCGGCGCAGACGCCCCACCACCACTGACGGAGTTGTATTTTGCCTCCGATGTGAACTCCTGCATCGAGCACACGCGCAAGGTGATTTTCCTCGACGACGGCGACGTCGCGCACTACCACGACGGGGCATTGACTGTTTACTCCGCTCACGTCCCCGCGGGCCCCAACGCCGTCGCTGTGGCCACGCCCGTCACGCGTGAGCCGCACAGCATCGACCATGTTTACGAGGTGCTTTCAAAGGAGGGCTACGAGCACTTTACGCTGAAGGAGATCTATGAACAGCCAGAGAGCGTCACGCGAACGATGTGCGGCCGCATCGACTTTGTGAAGGGAGATGTGAGCTTCGACGGCATGGATGCGACGACGGTGGCGCTCCTTTGCAGGGCACGTTGTCTCATGCTGATTGCGTGTGGAACCTCATACCACAGCTGCCTTGCCGTCCGTCCCATCTTTGAGGAGCTGCTGCCGAACATGTCTGTGGTGGTGGAGAGCGCCCCTGACTTTAACGACAGAAAGCCACGCGTTCACCGCGACGACGTCTGCGTGTTCGTTTCACAGTCCGGTGAGACCGCCGACACCCTCATGGCGTTGCAGCATTGCAAAACGGCCGGTGCGATGCTTGTCGGGATGACAAATGTCCCGGGCTCGTCGGTGTTGCGGCAAACCGACCACGCACTTCTCCTCAACGCCGGTGTGGAGGTGGGGGTCGCCTCCACGAAGGCCTACACCTCACAGGTTGTTCTTCTCACCCTTCTGGCCCTGCTGCTGAGCCAAGGCGATAAGAGCAACGGGAATGACAGGCATCCCACGGGAAGCGTACCCGCGGACAAGAATGCAAATGGGAAGAGGGAAGACGCAGAGAGCAAGCGGCGTATTCGAGAGCGACGCGCGGAGATTATCACTGGAATCGCTGCCCTCCCCGCGGCCCTTTCAAAGTGTCTCAGGGACGTCCGCGACGCCGTCATGTCCCTCGCAGAGGAGTGGCAGGACTCCTCCACCCTCCTTGTGGTTGGTCGCGGCTACGACTATTCCACCGCTCTGGAGTCCGCCCTCAAGGTAAAGGAGATCAGCTACGTCCACACCGAGGGTATTCACTCCGGTGAGTTAAAGCACGGTCCGCTGGCCCTTGTGGATGCACGGTCGCGGGTGATTGCTTTTTGCGCCCATGACCGCTATTTCGAGAGTAGCAAGAGCGCGATTCAGCAGCTAAAAGCACGCAGTGGTCGCATCGTGGCGATAACGACACAAAAGGATGCAGAGGTGGAGCACGCCGCTGTGCGCTGCGTGGAGGTGCCAGCCGTGGTGGATTGCTTGCAGAGCGTCGTGAATGTCGTGCCCCTGCAACTGCTTGCCTACTATCTCGCCTTGCGACGTGGCAACAATGTGGACTGCCCGCGCAACCTGGCAAAAAGTGTCACCGTGCAGTGAGCGGCACATCCCGCGGCAAAGGAGGGCTATTCAGCGCTCATGAAGGTGTTCTGGAAAAAAAAAGAAGGAAATCAATCAAATTTGAAAATAAGACGCTTATTTGTTTTTGTTTTGCTTTCTTTTTGTTTTTATTATTCTACTTTGATACTGACCGCTGGATGTACGAACGGCAATTTTTTTTTCTCCTCTTGCGGGGGTTGGTTGCTCAGGGTTGGAGATCGCTTTTGTGAGAGGGTGCAAGGAAGACTGATGGCGCAGGTTGGTACGTGCGTGTGGGTACGTGAGTGTTCCTCTTTTTATGTGCATTCTTCTTTCCCCACCTTTGTCGTCGCCGCGGCAGTCTTTTTTATTGTCACTCCGACTGTTTTTCTTTTTTGTTTGCAGCGGCGGTGGGGGGAGCTGCAGGTGTGCGGCTGCAGCATTGTTTTCCGTATGGGGTGCTGTTTTTTTGTGCGCCCCCAGCCGTCTGGGTTTCTGCCTTGTGGTGTTTATCCCCGCACTTATGGTTACATTTACACCGCTGTGTTTTTTATATATATGTAGATATTTTTATATTTATGTTTATATTTATATATTTATGTTTGTGTATCCGCGACAAACTGAGCGTTTACATTTTTTGGTGTTTACTGCACCCAGCAAGGCGTCTCTGGGAACCTCCTGCTCCGCCTGTCTACCTCCGTGGGCCGATGGGTGGAGGGGCGTGGGCGTGTGCGTATGGAGATTCTCTCTTTCTCTTTAAACAACAAGAACAACAAAAAAGAATATCTTCTTTTTACCTTAATGCGTCTATTTGTTTTCTGTTTTCTTTTTGTTTCGCCGTGCGACTTGTTGCGGCTCGGCAACGCCCCTCCCATCCCCGTCGCCTTCTCTTTGTGGTGGAGGCCCGTGGGGGCAATACCAACGCCCTCGCTGCTGCTCTCTTTCGTTCATTGTTGTTTTTTCCTTCCTTCCTTGTCTCCTTTTCTTTGCGGCGTAGTCTGTGCCGGCGCTGTGCCTGGCTCAATACCGCCCCTGCAGAGAGGAAGAGATAGGCCTATATTGTATTATATACATATAACATAGTCTCAAGTGTAACACAAGAAAAAAACAAACAGGAGGAGACGAGGGGCGGAGGATTGCGGTGGTGGCCGGGCGGGACGGCGTAACGCGTTTAGGCGAAGGGTACGAGGGCGGCATCATCCCCCCACTGGCCAGCGCGGGAGAGGCGGGCATTGCGGATTGCTGCTGTTATTGTTGTTGCTGTTTGTCTCTCTTCGCCTGTTATACCCGCACGCAGGTACTTTTGCGCATCCATTGCGGGCTCGTTTTTCGAATTAGTGCGCCATGAAGAAGTTTAGGGCGAAGCTGTTTGACTCCGACCGCACGTATAAGCCAAAGAAGAAGCACAAGGAGGGAACGGAGCGTTACAACCTGCACAAGTTCGCCAAGTCGCTCGTGCGCTCCGGTGATTTAAGCAAGGCGGTGCGTCTGCCACAAGGGGCCAACCTCAACCATTGGCTTTCAGTGCACACCGTCGACTTCTACAACATCACGAACGTTCTCTACGGCTCTCTCACGGAGTTCTGCACGGCCAGCAGTTGCCCGGTGATGTCGTCCGGCCCGCGCTACGAGTACCTTTGGAAGGACCCGCCGGAGTACCCAAAGGCGACCAAGGTGAGCGCCCCCGAGTACGTGCGACTGCTTATGGAGTGGATTGAGAAGCAGATCAACGATGAGCGCATCTTTCCCTCGGAGGACCGCAACCCGTACCCGCCGGATTTTCTGGACCGGGTCAAGACATGTTTTAAGCGACTTTTCCGGGTCTACGCACACGTGTATTACTCCCACTTTGCGAAGATACGAGAGCTGCAGGAGGAGTCGCACATTAACACGGCGCTCAAACACTTCATGTACTTTGTCTGGGAGTTTGACCTCATCCCGCGGGAGGAGGTCTCGCCCCTGCAGGAGCTGCTGATTAACCTCATGGGGCAGCGAGCGAAGGACAAGTTGGAGGCCGCCTAGGGAGGCAGCCCTTGCGCCTTCTCACCGAAGTACACATGAAAAATAACGAAAAACAAAAAGGACCGGCGTAAATAGTGCGGCCAGCATTTTGCTGGAGGCCATTGAGGAAGCGAGCTTGCGATGGGGAAGCTGCACCTCCACAGGAGCGAGAGGCGCGGATGATGAGGACGATGATGCCCCTCTCTTTCTTTCTCTCCGGCGCCCTACAGGACCGCATGTGGGTGTAGGGGGCCTCCCATCTTCTTCTCCGTGTGGGGCTGTGCGTGTGTGGGTGAAGTGGCATATGGCGTCGTGCTGTCGAATGCTTGCAGAGAGGAATACGAGGAAGGAAACCGACAATCTTGGTTGGGGGACGCGTAACGAAAAGGAAACAGTATCGGGGCCGAAATACAACGGAGACGCATCGTGTTTTTTCTTTCTTTCCTTGTGTTTCCTGTTGTTTTGTCAAGACGCTTCTGGAGACAATGTGCGGCAAGTTGGGCCTCAGGAGATGATGGGCATGGCGTGGTGGGCTTCGCCTGCTTCTTTACGGATTACTTGATGTTTATGTTTTCCACTAACTGCTGCTGTGAAGATTGGCGTGGCTGCGGTTCTTATTTTGCATGTTTTTTTTTTTCGTCTTTTAGGCCTCCTCTGCCCTCGAGCCCAGAAAACCCTCACTGGCATACGACTGCTGCGGATGTCTTCCTCCGCGGAGGAGTCCGGATGGTTGCGCTGCGGGGGGCGGGGGGACCCCCAAGGAATTCGTGTTTGCCAAACTTCAAAACCGGCCCGATTATAAAAGAACGCCTTTCAATTCGTTTGTGCCCCTGCACACCTTCTCTATGTGCGGGACGAGTCGCTGCTGAAGTGGTGTGGGAAGCTGGGCGCACACTGAGCCAATTATCCATCTCCGCCCTCTCCTCCTCCCCTTTTCATGCGTTCTGGGTAGAGGAGGGACGAGGGCCTCCTGCAGCTGCGCCTTCTGTCTGCAAATGAAGTAACACGCGGCGCCACAGACCCGCAGGGAGGCACAGCAAGCAACAATGTGACAGTTCGCCGCTGTGCGCTGGGGCACATCGGTGGAGGCGCGAAGAAACCAGTGGGCGGCGCCGAGGGCAGTCCGGCCGGCGAGAGGGCCGAAAACGGCGACGGAGGGGAGTACAGAGCTGGGGACGGATGGATTGAAACAACACTTTCCTACGAGAGGGAAAAGCACCGTCGGCCTCTATCCCGCTCCCTCCCCCTCCCCACTGCCACTTTTTTCCCTGCTTGTTCTCTTTTCTTCCTTGCCTTTCCTTCACACACTCTTCTCGGGTGATTTCCGTGGGAATTTTGCTTGCCCGCCTCTTGCCGTGTATGACCCGGCTCACGCGTAATCGCATGCCGTAAATTTACATCGTTTTTTTTCCTGTTTGTGTGTGCATCTTCCTTGTGCGTGCTTGTTGCTGTCGCTACCTCCCTGCTTGCGGAGGGCGGACGCCGAGAATCCTCTTTCTTCCTCCCCCTTTGTCTTCTCCCAGCATAAAAGACGTCTGTCCCGTCTGTTTTCGCGGGTGCGGGTCTGCCGCAAATGCAGCGCGTGCCGGCTCCGTCGATGGAGGCGATTGACGCATACGTCAAGGAGCTGCAGCTTGGCAGCGATGGCAGCGCACGTGCCCCGCCACTGACGGTGGAGAACATTCTTTGCAAGGTGTACGCGAAGTTTTATAATCAGCGCGGCCAGGCCCCGTTTCCAGACGGACTGCCCTTCTCTTTGAAGCAGGTACCGTCACTTGCCTCTGTGGCGGTGCTGCAATCTCGCGTCACGGCAATGCTGCAGAGCGCCGTGGCGACGCGGCCTGTAGTGACGTTGCATGAGCTGCAGTCAGAGGTGTGTCTCACGGAGAATGTCATGATGTACGCTGAACTCGGCCTGGGCTGCTCCCTCGCGGCGTTGCCATGCGTCCAGCACATGTTTGGCGTTCGGGTCGACACCAACCTCGCCCCTGTTACGAGCGCCGAGTTCATGCAGTTTCTTCTTTTCGACGCAGGCGCCCAAGGGGTGTTGACGGGCGGCGGAGACGCCGGGGATGCCGTACGCGCCTTCTCGCGTTGCTACAAGGACGGCAAGTACACCAGCATGCAGCTGGGCATTCACATTCAGCACTTCCCCTGGCTACTGCGGTTTGTGCGCCAGGAGGTTGGGCGAACCTCGGCCTTTTTCTCCGAGCTCTGGAGAAGCAACGCGTGGTGCCGCGAACGCAACAGCGTCATTTACGAACGTGTTGCGGAATCGCTGCACACGGAATTTGTGTCCCGCTGCAATGACGCAGGGAGGCAATCTCCGCATGAGGTGAGATTTGTTGTGCGTGCCTCTCCTGTGGAGCTGCAGGGAACGGACATCCCACCGGATATGTGGGGGGCGTGTAACGGCCCATCGGGAGGGGTCTTGCTGCATGGAACGCTGCGGGCGGAGCCTTTTCCGTCTTCCGTGCACCTCCCACACGGCACGCACGCCCCGGCAGCAGCCGAGGTGCAACACACGTTGCCCATGTCCATTAGTTTACCCTCTGCCCCGGCTTTACCTCAGCCTCCTCCTGCTTCCTCTACGGCGGCGGCAACTGCGATGGCAACAGGAGCACAGCAAGCCATGCCAGCAATGGTAACCTCTTCGCACTCGAGAAAGCGACGTCGCGGGACAGTCGTGGAGGAGCGGACGGAAGTGTCGGATGATGTGTCTTTGTCCTCTTTGAATTATCATCACCATCAGCAGCCGCAGCAGCACGCGGGAAATGCGTGCGCATCAAATGCGGGAGTGGCAGCGGCGTCCGCGTCGTTGTCGACCCCGGCGGAACTGCCTCCTATTCCTCTCGAGAAGGCCTTGTCGATATTGCGATGCTTAGCGGCGATGCAATCTGTGACTGCTGCCGTGTCTTTTGCCACGTGTGATGACTTCGCCGTATTTCGGAGTTATGCCTCCAAACTGTTGCCCCGCCTACGGCGCGGAGAAGGGGCTGCGGAGCAGTATGGTGGAGCCTCGGCGGTGGGAAGGGATCCTTTTTCGGTTGACGTGGATACCATTTTGCGTCTGCTCTCTCATAAAGAGGTGTTCGACGGGTGGTGTGCGTTCCACAGGGCCATAGGGGCCCACACGAAGGGCTCTGACGGGCCCGCGGATGCGGCTGCTGCTTCCCCGGGCCGGGTGCTAATGCAATGCCTTGAATCGGGGTTGCCCGAGTTGATGTTCCTGCCGCTCGTGGCGACGCGATCGTTGTTGCCCCTGTCGGCAGCACGGGGTGTTCTTTCCCAGCGTGTTCTCTTGTCAGGATGTCACGCATCGGAGAATCTTCTTGTGTTTCATCCGCTGCAGTATATTCTTGATTTACAACTCGGGGGCGGAGAGGGCTGTGCGTTGGCGATGCTTGACGGCGAGGTTCTACTGCGCGGGCTGCATGATTCAGACTCTCAGCACGTGCTACACGACCTGCTAGCGACTCTTGGGGACCATGGAGTGTTGACGTCTGTGCCGGAGTGCTGGTTGTGTGAGGGGTTTCTGCTGCGGCTTCTGCAGCCTCAACTACGAGACTACTTTAACAGAGCAGTGCGCACAGAGGCGGAGGAGTGTCACATGGCTCTGCGCATGCTGCTGCTGTATTGGTGGCTCTTGGGGGTGTGGTGTACGGCGCCCCCGTCGTCGCGGATGGCTGCCGGGGTTGAAGACATTCTGCAGAGTCTGCGGGACGTGGCTTGGCTGCCCGCCCTGTCACGCCGTGGCGGCGACAGTGATGCGGGGAACTCTGCCCTGCGGATCGAGTGCTGGCGCGCACCCTCCGAACTATTTCCAGCTCTTCCATGCTTCACACGCAGTGGTCTGTTAGAGGTGTTGCATTTTGCCCCTCACGACATGCGCGACCTTCTCTCTCTCTCCAAGCAGCACGCTGACAGCAGCTCGTTGCAGCATATGCATCGGTTTCTTGGCGGGTGGATCGACGTGGTGCAGGCGGGCATGGCGGATATTTCTGCGGAGGCGTTGCCCCGCCTCATGGGTATGCCTGTGGCTTACACGGCCGCCGTCGCTTTGCGACTGCTACGCTCGCTGCGGGTGGGGAGCCGCATCTCACTCGCCACAGTGCGGTGCCTCCTGCACCGCCTTTCTCACACCGAAGAGGAGGAGGGGGATGTTCTCCTCGACGCAAGGCGGCTGCCGATCATACCACTCCCAACGACGCGTGTAGGGCTGGACGTGAATGGGGAATTTGTTGTGGGCGAGATGGCGACGTGTGCGACGCTGTGCTGGGAGCCGCTTCCGGGCGCGGACGGGGCGTGTGTGCTCGACCGCTCCATTGCTTTTGTCGGCGACGACCTTCGCGAGTTCGCCGTTGGTGGCTTGCGCGTCTCCCCCGTTCCGTCGGTGGCAACCTGGTGGGCGGCGGCGCGGGCCTGCAGACGAGGCATTGTGGCCGGGTCTGGAATGAGCGCGTCCCTCACTGGGTTGCTTCTGCGGGTCCTGTCTCACTCCTGCACGGCGCATTACAGTTATCTCCAGAAAGAGTTTGAGGAGCAGCACCCAGAGAGTCGCGGCAGCGCCGGCCAGGAGGCGCTGAAGGGGGTTGTAGGCCTTGTGGCAGACACGGCCCGGGCGGAGTACGTGTTTCCTCTTCACGGCCGTTGGCGAAGTCCGGCGGAGGGGTTGTTCTACTGCGGTCCATACTACTGCGGCTTCTCTGGCCTTGCACTCAGAGTTTCTACGCACCCTGGCGCTTGCGCCGCTGAGAATGATGGCGACGCCGCTGGCGCGGACACGACGCCCTCGCTGCCTGTGCTTGCATTTGCGCAACAGCCGCATCACGTTGTTTCTGCCGTGCTGCAGAAGATGGGTCTTGTGGCGTTAGAGGACTGTACGGAGAAGATTGTGACGTTTGACCGGATGAATGCCGCTCACAGCGCACAGCTGCACAGGAAAATTGCCGACTGTGTCCCGCGTGTGCAGGAGTTTTTGCGGACGCACCACCCGCACTACTACGCCCTTGTGCATTCCCAGGTTCGGCATGCCTTGGAGCATTTCAGCACGGTGCTCGCGGCGGAGCCAGTCGTGCGGGAGATGCTTCGTTTTCAAGGGCAGACATACACCATGACGCGTACCGTGCGCTGCTGGTACGTGCAGCAACACAACTGCCTCTACGGCGTCGATGAGGAATTTGTCCCGTCCCTTGAGGCCGACGCGATTGCGGATGTGTTTCTTCCTTTGATGGATGCGGAGGTACGGCGGGGGCTGACAACGGCCCTGCAGCAGTGGCTGCGGGACGCCAACCTGTGCTTCGCCGACGACACCCCGTCAGCTCCGTGCCCGCAGACGACGACGACGGCGGCGGCGGCGGCAACGGCATCCTCGCCCTGGGAGGAAACTTGGCAGCTCTCGGCGGCGCCGTCTGCACGCTTCCGTGACCACTTTCCCTTTGGAAGGGACGGCTTTAGCCCCACAGGGGGGCGGAGCGGAGCGGCGGCGGCGGCCTCGCAAGCCTCACACACGCCGCGCCTGAAGGTGCTGCCCTGGGGCGACGGCGGCCACATGGCCCGCTCGCTGCCGCAGTGGCGGTGCGACCTCTTCGACTCCGCCCACGACTTGCTGCGCGGCATGGAGCGCGGCCGCGGCGGGGCCGAGGGCGACGCGGCGGAGGAGGGCGCGGCCGACACGGCGAATGCGTCTGCCCGCGGGCGGGGGCGGCGTGGTGGGCGGCCTCAGCGCGGCGCCCCTGCGATGGTGGTGCAGGAGCCGCGGGAGACGGCCGACTACGCCGTGGCGGCGGAGCGTTTTGTCGCGGAGAAGTTGCGGGCGGAGGCGGCGCCCGGCGTTGAGGTTGTGTGGGTCAACGAGCACGGCGAGCACGGCACGCCGTACGACATTCTGCTTGTGCGGCGCGTCGTGCGCGACGCCGCGGCCTCCACCTCAACGGAGATTTTGGCGTACGTGGAGGTGAAGAGCACCTGCACGAACGCGCGCCGGGACTTTGAGATGTCGCTGCGGGAGTTGCTTTTCGCCGCGCGCTTCGGTCGGGCGTACAAAATTTACCGCGTGTTCCGCGCCTCCACAAGCGCGATGCGGCAGATGCATGTGGAGGTGCTAGAGGACGTGGTGAGGCTGTGGCGCACCGGCGCCCTCACAATGACGGGTGACGTGAAGGTCCTGCTGGCGCCGGGCACTTAAGGCAGCAGGAGGTGCCACTAAAAAAAAATAGAAGAAAAAAAATGAAAATGAAACGAAGAAGTTAAGTGAAATTGCGTTGTAATTCCTTCCTTTGCGTTGTCCTTTCCTTTCCCTCTCTTTCTCTCTCTCTCACGTGGGGGTGGGTGGGTACAAGCTTTTCTCCTTTGTCTCTTCTCTTTTTTCCTTCTCTCTCTCTCACACACACACACACTTCCTGCACCAGACGCGTGCTTCACCGACTTATATCTGCACCCGCAGGCACGCGGTAAATGGGCTGCAGCCACTCTGTGGAAACCAACAAAGTCAGCAAGCTGTTTGGTGCAACTGGGCTACATGTAGGGCGTGATGGGGATGTGGACCTGACCTCCCGCTCCATGGATGTTTTCATGCCGAAGTACGTTGATGTCATTAGGCGTGATAAACTGCACACCGCCCGGCGGCTGCATCTCTCGGAGAATAGGCTGTACACCCTCGGCAAGGAAATGACGCTGCTGACCGACATTGAAGAGCTGTACATTGACAACAACCGCTTTGAGCACGTGCCAACGGTGTTGAGTTCGATGGAGAGCCTCTGGCTGCTCGACGCCAGCATGAACCCGCTAGGAAGACACATGCTCTCGATGGAGGTGCTGCCGCGCATAGAACACTTGACGCACCTCACCCTGCGCTGTTGCTCGCTGTGTGCCATCCCAGTTTGTCTCCTGCGCTGCGCCGTCCTGGCGGAGTTGGACCTCTCGGACAACACCAACCTGCTTCTGGACGGGGTGGAGTTTTCGAGCCTGCGTGCACTGCAGGTTTTGCGCATCGCCAACTGCGGCATTAAGGGCGAGATTCCCGCCGGCGTCAAGGAGGTGACGACGCTGAAGACGCTTGACATCTCCGCAAACAGCTTTGACTTTGAGGACCCGGGGTTCTTTGGCAGGAAGCTGCCGCACACCCTCACGCAGTTGCACCTGCGGAAGATGCGGCTCGTGGCGGTCCCGCAGGTGATTGTGCAGCTGCGCAAACTCTCCAGCCTTGACCTTGCGGAGAACCCCCTGGAGACGTTGGACGTTCTTGCAGGTCGACTGGTGCGGCACCTAAGCCCCTTCAACGCCTTAGCAGCCGGCGTCCTGAACCCGGTAACGGAGGCGAGCGACGACGCGGCCAGCGTCGCCTCTCGCGCCAGCTCCTGCGTGAGTGCTAGTCAACTCAGCCGTGCTGGTCGTATTGCCAAAGTTCCTCAACCCATCCCGCTGAGGAAACTTTGCCTTCGCGCGTGTGGGTTTCGCACGCTGCCCAAGTACTTTCACAAGCTGAGGAACCTGGTTGAGCTTGACCTGAGCGAGAACGAGCAACTCCAGGACCCGAACATGACCCTCTTCTCCCTCAGCAATCTGCAGGTGCTCAACGTCACGGAGTGCCCATTTGCGGCGAACCGCCCCTCGGCCAACAACGAGTGGTTCGACATCTCCAATCTCCACCACCTGCACACGATAGACTGGGAGGTGTGGAAGGGGGCGCACAACATGAGCCCCTACCGCACGAAGGTCCCGCTTGAGATTTGTGGACTGAATCTGCAGTGCATCAACGGGATGAAGCTGCGCCCCAACCTCTTTGTAGGGGACACGGTGCAGACAATCATCAATCTGCTTGTGGACGGGTACCTTAAGGTGGACCTGGCACTAGACGACGACTTAGTGTTCAGCTACGCCGAGGCCGTGGCTGCGCTAGGCCCGCTGGAGTCCTTCGTCTTTGCCTCACCGGAGGAGGCTGCCGAGGCACAGCCGCAGCAGCCTCCAAAGCAGGCTGACCGGACGCCAGCCCAGGCGGCAGCCACAGACGGGGCGTCTGCCGCAGCGAAAACAATGCAGCGAACTGTTCGCGAAGACGCCCTGCGAATAACCATCAGCCGCTACATTTTCTTTCTGACGATGCAGGCGGCAAACCACAACGCGGTCATTGTGCCGCCGGCGGACGTCATGGCATTGCACTACGCCCAAATGACGCAGGATCCTATTAGTTACCGCAACGACTGCGAGGCTATATGCGGGCAGGTGCTGAGCTGCAACTACAACCTTTTCTTTATCGAGCAGAAGCTGCAGCCGCAGGCGGTGAAGGAGGCGCTGGTGGGCAGCAAGCGGGTGTGGAACATGATGGTGCGCACCATCCAGAGGGACCTTTTTTGGTTGCGCTACGACTTCTGGGAAGTTCGCGCAAAAAATCCCCCCACGGAGCCGGCTCAGGCGCAGGATGAGGCGGCGGGCAAAAACGGCAGCAACGAGAATGCCGCCGGCGCTGCGGCTGCTTCCACCGCCGCCGCCGCCGCCGCCGCCGCCGTCACATTGCCATGTGCTCCACCGTGCGACGGCGGCGGCCTCGGAAACCTTTCCGATATAGACGCCGTGGGGGATCTGCGCTCGGTGCTGGACTGCGCCATCACGGCGCACTTCACAGAGCAGGGCACCGATCGCTTTGTGTTCTCGCTGGACAGATTTTTTTCCACCAGCAAACGGTTCATGGAGTGTGAGACGTCCTGTACCGAGCTCAAGCTGGATTGGACGCGGTATGTCAAGTACCTCGCCCTTTACGCCCACATTCAGCGGCTGAAACAGCCGGAGTTGTACCAGCAACGTGCGCAGGAGCAGGATGATTTGCTGCGGAACAATTCCATAGTCGCGCCGGACGCATATTTGCCGAAGCCGAAGGACGCGGAGGAGGTGCTTGTCATGTCACCCCATCGGCAGGGGAGTAGATTCACGCTTCGAAGGGCCGTCTCCAACCTGCGTGGCAGCAGCGCCGAAAACAGCCAATATGGAAGCTTGGAAACAGTGCGGCTTGATTCGACGTTGCCTTCACGAGGCGTGGATGCTGGCGTCCGCTATCAGCAGCAGCAGATGCCGACGTCAGAGCCAATACCGACGGTAGGTATTTCACTGCTGCTTTACAGCCATCGCACTCTCCATGCCAAATACTACCAGACGCTGGCCCTCCTCGGTATTGAAAACATTGACATTGACTGGGAAGAGAAGCGCGCCTCGGTGGAGGCGACAATGCGGGCGTGGCAGTTGCTCTACGACGAGACCTATGTAAAGACTGTCAAGGGTGCGTTTTACCTCTCTGACGAACCAGCATCGACGCACGAAAATGAGGAGGGAAGGGAGATACGCCAGCAAGAGGTAGTACCTTCCCGGAGGCGGAACCTGTCAAAACGCTCCTCTCGCCCGCAGCGGCGTGCGGCTCTTTGCACCGCCGACGGTAAACATCTTATCTTCTGAAGATCACCGAATAAGCGGCGGTGTGGCTTCATCCACACCTCCGTACTTGCGTGCATGCGTCTATGCGATGAGGGGGGAGGGGGGGGACTTTGGAAGCGGAGAACGCACACAAAAGAAGCAACAACAACAACAAAAAACAGCAAAAGTCAAAACGGGAACGAAGACGTCAGTGGGGTAACAGTATGTCATGCGAGGACGGTGCTGGTGGCGGTGGGACACCATGACAGGAAGATATCGCTCTGTATGGCGCGTGCAGTGTAGGGCTGTGGAGTGCGGGGAACGCTGCGCAGCACGAAGTTGTGGGCTTAGGCTCCCCCCACCCACACCGCGGGTAGACATTTCGCGTCTTGTTTGTCCCCCGCACCCCTTCATCGTCTCCCTCAGGGCACCTCCCCTGCGCCGGCAGCTGTGAGGGAGGGCGGCGAGAGGGAGCACCAAGACGGTGGTGTTCCCGCAGGACCGCACGAATAATGAAATAACCAAAGGGCACCGGAAGGGGGAAGCTGACATATATATATATATATATTTATATATTTATATATAAAAATATTTGTGTATATGAGGCAAATGACACCAAGAAGAAAGGTGGCGAAATTCGAAAGAAAAAACGTCCGTGTGCGGTGATAGCAGGGGACTTGGCCGTGTGCTTCCGCCGAGCGAGTGCAGGCAGGTTTCAAGTGAAACGAGGAATGGGGGGAAAAGAAAAACGCAGGATTGCCGGCAGTTTATATGGAAACATGCCACTACAATCCGGGCGTGTGAATGCATTTTGGAGGCGCGTGAAAAGTATTTTCTTTCTTTTTAAAACTACACTATTTCTGGGGATGTGCATCTGTGGCTGCGTTACAACAGCTTTGCGTTTGCGTCAATGCCGTCAGTTTTCGTGTGAGTGCGTATGAAAACATCTTCCGTGAAATGCGCAGTGTGGGCTTGTCGTTTCTGCGGCCTTGTGTTCGCCGCTGGAGGGGCGGTGTGAGGGACTGCCCCCAACACGCGCGTGGGGGGTGGGGTGGGGGTTTGCTCCTTCGCGCTGACGCTCTCCATCTCCTTCTCTGCGTGTGTGCGTGTGTCTCATGTCGCCTGCCCGCCACCCCTAACCAACCCCCAGGAAGTACACACACACACACACGACCAAAGAAAGAACGAAATAAACAAGACAAGCAACGAAAAAAGAAAAAAAGAAAAAAATCGTAGTAGAAATGGAGGAGTCTCTCCGGGCAATGGCAACACCGTCCTCAAAGGAGGCGCGGAGGAACTTGCACAAGGCAAGTGCTGCCCGCGAGCGGCTGACGGAGGGAAGTCGCCGCCGTGCGCCCGTCTTGCGGGGACCCAATGAGGAGGAAAGAGAGCGGGGCTCTTTGCGGAGGCGCCACTCAACCGCCCTCGCCCCAACACGCCGCACGTTAAACCGACTCACTGTGGCGCCGCCGGCGAGCACTAGACGACCCACCTCAAGTATCGCAGAAATGAGCGCCTCGTCGACGGCACCGCTGCCGCGTCCATTAGGAGGCGTGCGGCCATCATTGCGTCTCGGCACGATAAAAAAGTCGTTGCCTGCCACACCGTCTCGCAGGGCGACATCCAGTATTTTGAGTGAATCTCCGCCACCTGCAGCGCCCCTTTCCTCTGCTGCCACAATAGCAAGTATGCCGCTTGTGATGCTCTCGCATTCCTTTGATGCCGCGTCGCGAGGCGTTGACGCTAAGGGGCAGAGTAGAGCGGACAGTAGCCGGGGCAGTGTTCCTTTCACCATCACGGGGCCGTACCTGCGCGCCGCAGTGGTCAGGGCAAGTGCCTCTCTCTGGGCCGCGAACGAAGAAACTGGCACAATTGACATTTACAGCAGCGTCTCCGGGGCACTGTCGACGCGGATTCCCGCACGTACCGCAGCAACTGGCGACATCATCAAGCCAATGGCAATGAAGGCGACGCCGCACCATCTCTGGCTGGGCTACGAGGATGGAACCGTAGTGGTGCACGACCACCTTTGCCTTGTGCAGCTAACGATGGGACATTTCCATATGGCACCTGTCGTAGCCTTTTGTGTTTTGGGCAGTGGTATTACAGTAAGTGGCTCTATTGACATGGTGCTGGTTCGCTGGGATAGGGAAGAAAAGAATTTTGAGGCCATCTCACGCATAGATGGTGTGACTGAGTCCCACCAAGCCTTAACTTGCATGGCGGCATTCGGCAATAACGTTGTCTTGTGCGGCTCCATGGCTGGCGCCGTCGTGGCGGTCGATTCTGCCTCTGGGCTGCAGGTCGCGACACTGCGCGGGCACACCAGTCGCGTGAACGCTCTCACCGTGATGGAAGACCTCATCTTCTCTGCCTCCGAAGATGGCCACGTGAATGTGTGGAATGTGAGGATCGAAGAGCCCTTTCCCGAGATCACCTTGCAACGCAACTTCCATTTACTGAAGTCTATTCCTCTTCAGGTTGCCGTCCGCGACCTCGTCACGCACGAGGGATCTCGCAGCCTGTGGGTGGCCTACACCGATGGCCTCGTGGAGCGCTGGAGTGCAAACCCCGATGATGACTTTGGCGTCGAACAAGTGGTGCGTGAGGCGTTTATCGACGTGGATGAGCCCCAGGCTGGTGAGCAGCCGCGGTTTGAGGTCGTCTCCTTGGACTGCGTGCGGGATGTGGAGACAGTTCGGGTGCTGGCACTGGGCAGCAACGGCATCAGCAAGGTGTGGTGCGGCCACCGAAACACGTTGGAGGAGTCGTTGCAGCAGTCTATCAATGATATTAACGCCGTCATCACCCAAGACACCACGGAGGCCGCCGCGTGGGAGCAGAAGGCCATTGCACTGAAGCAGAAGGAGCTGCACCGCAAGCGAAAATACGCGGAACTCCTGAAACGCCTGCATGCCCGTCGTCTGCTTCTTGCGTACTACACCAAGTGGCGCGCATGCATTACTTCTCACCACCTGCGCGGTCGGCAGCAGGAAGAGATTTGCCTCACCCTAGAGGAGCGTCACCAATTTCGGCTTATGCGTCGCTACTTTAGCACGTGGTGCCGCTTTTACGACGGGGAGCAGCGACGCTTCCGGCGACAACTCACCGCTGTTGCGCTGGAGCGGCTGTCCCGCCAGACGTGGGTGACACGACTGCTCTGTAGGTGGAGGGAGGCGGTCTCGCGTCGCAAGGCGCGGCGACAGCAGGGGGACGTGGTTAGAGCCTTGGCTCACGCGTCAAATGGGGCGCTTTTAGCAAAATTCTTTGCTCGTTGGAAGTATTACGGCGCCGTGCGACGCGGGGCTCTGTCGGATGACAAGCTTGCGCTTCTGGTTGGGAAGTCGCGGGGCCGCTTCCTGCGTCAGGCGTATGAAAGCTGGAAATTGGCCCACGCACGCCGGGAAGGAGAGGCGGCGGGGACCGCGGCAGGAACTGCGGCAACCGCTACCGAGGCACCCACAGCGAAAAGCGCAGTCTACGCCGCAGGATTTGCGGAGGCGTATGCAAAGGTGACAAGGGAGCGGGAGCGTCGTCGCGTGTTCACCATGTGGCGTCGCTGGCACGTGTATCGCACCAGAATCGTCTCCTTGCGGGCGTTGGCCACTGTGCGGGAAAAGCAGTGTCACCGAAACATCTTATACTGGGCCCTGCTCTTCTGGCAGCTCTTTTGCAGGAAACGTCGCTTGGAGAGACTCGGGCGGGAGGTGCAGGAAGTTGAGCACCGTCTACGGACTGCGGAAGAGACGCATCTCGACATATTCGAAAAGCTGCAACTGCAGAAGCGTCTGGAGCACCTGCGGCGGCAGCACGAGGAGGAGCAACGGCTTTTGCATGAGGAGCTTGCGCGCACGCAGCAACTCAACGTCGACCGCGACGCGCTTCAGCACTCGTTGGATCAGTCCGCCGGCGTGGATGACGATGCGACAACGAACGCGTCCAGTGCACTCTTCAGCCCCGCTGTGTTGCAGCAGCTGCCGGTGGGAGAAGCCACGGCGCTTGTCATGGCGCGGCTGAAGGGCATTGCACTCAACATTTACACGGATATGCAGCTGTTTCGCCAGATCAAAGACCGTCTGCGCTGCGGCACCTCGGCGGCGGTTGTCTTCCTTGAAGGCTTCCAGGAGGTGAAGCGGCTTGTCGTGAACTTGTCACGGAAGCAGCCAGGGCACGCGTGGCGCAGCGGCGAGCGATGGCCGCTTACCGGCGAGGCCCTCGAAAACCTTCCACTGCACCCCTGCGCCACCGTCGTGCAGGCCATCAAGTCGATGGCGGTTGCCTACGACATGGTCGGTGCCTCTGACGTAGAAACGGTGTCGGCAACAAGGGTGGAGATTGTGGCCAATGCAGACCTGCTGTTTATGCTCTGGAGGGCATGCTACACCGCCCGCAAGCCGCCACTTCCTGTAAACAATAGAGTTGCCTCACGATGTTAAGCGCTCTTCGCTGTTTTTTTTAGGTTGTTTTTTGTTTTTTATTTCATTTTATGCTTCCCTTCCTTTCTCCCTCTGTGTGTGTGTGTGCTTGTGTTTTATTTCTTATTTATGCCTGATCTCTGCTTGCGTGTGCGACCACAAGGGAGGAAGAACGCGGGGTGCCGCACAAGAGGCCGGTGTGACCGGTTACTCGCAGCCACATCACCGTCTTCCAACGACGTTGAAGCGTAGAGTACGCTGAGGGGGAGAGAGGCCGGTGTGGATGACGTGCGCCAGTGTTGCTTGGGACCACAGACATGACACCCTCTCCCCTCCCAAATGCATACGAACGTAGCAGTGAATAGGGCATGCTTCCCTGCTTGCAGCGGGTCAATATTGCAGTGTGTGCGTGTGTACTCGCATATCTCCTTCTTGGTTTAATTCCCCTTTGCCCCCACTCCCTTTTACCTCTTCCCCCTCTTTGATGTCCGCACGTAATGGGTGTGTCCGCTACTCTGCCTAATCTTGCAAGATCCACCTGCAAATGTGGACGGGGGGGTGGACTGCGTGCTGCTGCCTGCTCCTCCTTCCAGCCTTCTCCCTGTGGACGCTGCGAGCGGGGTTTGACTACCATGGGGCAACGCTGTGCTTCCTCAACATGCTGGTGGCATTGTTCGCCGCGTGTGCCCTGTGGCTGCACTCCGAGAGACTGGCTCAGAAGTATATCAAGTATGCGCTGCACCACTGCAGTCGTGGGGATGAAGCGCGTGGTCTCGCTGCCGGTGTTTCCCGCGTATCACCTGTGTTGCCCGCGGTGCTATCACTGGTAATGTTTCTGTATGCATTTTGGCATGTCGTCGCAGCGGTGCTATTTCTGCTCGTAGAAACCGGAATCTGGAGGCGTTAATGCGTCCGATGCTTGCAACTGGGGCCGCTGTTTGTCCCAATATTGGGTAAGACAACGATTGCGAGTAAATGCTTCTCCCGCTTTTTTTTCCTTTTATACCGACGCAGTGTCTACCGGCGTTGGACGCCTAGACACTTGACACAAATTTCTATGCCAATTAAAACTTCACTCAACAGCTCAGTCACGTCCTGGGAACTGTGTACTTTACTAGGACATTCATGGTCTTTTGAAGAATACTTAGCACGCTCTTTTATACAAATTGACTTTTTTTTTGCTTCGTTTTGTTTTCCACTTCCCTGCTTTCTGGCTCCACCGCTTTGCGTGCTCTCGTGATGCGCGCAAGAACAGTTCCGGACGGTAACAACAAGTCGCCCGTGATGCTCCGTCTGCTTTGCTGCGCCCTGCTCCTCCAGCTGTGCACCGGCGGCCTTGTCGCTGCTGTGCCGCACCGGTGCGTGTTTGATCACCTGCCACGGGTAGTTCGCGGCGTGGCCCGCGAGGTGGCGCCGGCGCAGCCTCCTGTCAGCGTCTCCGTGGGCAGTGACTGGGTGCCCATCCGCATCCGAGTCTTCGCGGACAGCCTGGAGACGCCGGGTGGGTTCTGCTCCAGGGCCGGGGAGCGGATTGAGATGTTC